AATCTGATTTAAATCTGTACTAAGACAGATTAATAACAGGAAGTCGGGGGGGGGGAACTGCACAAAGGAATGTTCCATATATAAGGAAAGAATATAGAAGAATTCATACAAACTGGTCAAGGAAGTTTATATTATTTTTAACCAAAGAAAGAATCTATATTTTATAATCAAGGCAGCTGTTCTGTTTTGGAATAATCTTGAAGAATGGAGGAAATCCATTAATAAGACAACAGTCAGATAAGAGTCCGAACTAGAACTGTAACATGAGAAAACATCTCAGATAAGCCCCTCCCTAACTCTCATGAAGATAAAGGCAGGGATGGGAGAAACTTGTAAGATTCTGTTATTATTTAAAACTAATATAACCTACTTAGACTAGGAAACTACTACTCTGGTTTCTTTCTCTAATCTAACTTGAAGAGCTGACAAATTTTAAGAAGAAAAAATTGAGAATTGAGAGTGAGAAACTCTTTGATGTATAATGTGAATTTATAATTATACTATATTTTACTATGTTTTCAAAATGATGGAAGACTTTATCCCAATTTTGGTTAAGAGTAGCATTCAGCTGTTAAAAAAATAGTATTCACACCAGAGCGTATATCCTAAGAGCCACTGGTTGTCTAAACATATTTTCAAACTTGGTTCCTTGGGGTTTTAATCTAGCTGAGCCTCTATATTTATTTGTGAGAAATAGCAGAGTTTGATCTTAACATAACTTAATGTTTGGTGTAACTTATCTTAATGTTTGGCCCTTGTTCTTTTGTAATGTGTCTTAGAAGGGAAAATGACATTTCAGTTGATTGCAGCAGTCAAATTCAGCATAAAAAGCTGTCTTGATTATCAGTGTATTTCTGATATTTTGTCCCCAAATCCAGTTTGCCATTTATTCTCCATTGAATATCGCAAAAGTCAGTGGTGGCAAACTTACAGCATGCATTTCAAACATGCCATGCCATGATATTTTGGGTGACATGCCAGCATTCTCCAAAACCCAACAACTATTTTTAAAAGCATGCCTTATTCTTGCACAATTTTGGTAGGTTGTGGAAGCCACATGAGAATGGGATGCAGTCTCACATCCTTCAGACCCTATGGAAGTCAAGAGCCTCCACAACCTCCAAAATTGTGCAAGGGTCTGCATAGGCTGTGGAGGAGCATTCTCCAAAGCTGCTTCAAGAACAAAGGCCTTGTGCAACCCAGAGAAAAATCAGGCCCTTCTGAGCAGCAGTACTTGACAGCAAGGCTGGTCCTGAATTGGAGGCCTAGGCCTTGAGTTTCAACCCTAGAGCCACTACTTTAAAAATCTTCCTCACACTGTTCCCCAAGCAAGATACGATTGCCCCCATGGACCAGCACACCCCATATCTCAACAAAAAGAGATCACTGCCTGAAGGTAAACTGCATGCAGCACATCTGGGGAGTGCTGGACCATGGCAGCAATCCAGTGGTGGGTTGCAGGAGGTACGCCCCGGTACAGGCATACCGGAGCCTGCCCAGAATACCAGATACTGTTCNCAGGGATTCGAAGGTTTCTTGTGAAAAGTCAAGCAGACAATATTGGGAGGAATAAGATAGTTGAGAAAGAATGTTGCAGGAGTCAACCAGAACTAGACCTCACAGTTCAAGTGTAAAATACAGTATTTATACAGACCAATGATGGTGAACCTTTTCAGCACTTAGTGCCTAAAAGGTTGTGCAGAAATGTTGCACGCACATGCTCATCAGGATCGCACTCTGGGAAAACCAAACTTCTGGATTCTAGTGCGCATGTGCGGTCAATTATCAGCTGGCCAGGATGCATGTGCAGGCCAGTTTTCGGCACTCTTGCACATGTAAAGGACAGATAATCATTCCACATGCATGTGCACCAGAAATCCAGAAGACAAACAGGCAAGCTTTAGGCACGTGTGCCATAGGTTCACCATCACAGATATAGACTATTGTAGGTCTACAGAAAAGTTATTTGGAAATTATTCAAAGTGTCAATATTAGTCCTTCTTGTCATTTCCCCTTAAGAGGAAAGGGTAACCTAGCTTAATATGAGAGCCACTTTGGTCTAGTGGTTAAAGCTTACTTACATGATTGTTGTTGGGGGGAAAAATAGGAGGAAGGTATGTGGGGTGTGTTTGCTGCCTTGAATTATTTATAAAAATAGTAAAGGCAGTATACAAATAAATAAAATTTCTCCAATTTTAACTAATACAATGTGTATTATGTGTATAAGTTTTGTTCTTAACAGTTTCTTATCAGCAAGTGCTGACCTTAAATTGAAAAAATAATCCTTGCCATTTTTCTGTTAGAGCTCAAGCCTACAGCTCCATACTTATAAAAACATTTTAAAATCACATGCTTTTGTTTAAAGTCATTGAAGCACAAATACACCAAATAAGCCTAACAACTTATTACATATTAATTGGACAGACAGTGCTAAAGTCCAAAGTTTTATCGGCATTTCTTAAGATCAACAATTTACATTAACAAGGCTATAATGACAATTTATATTTTTCAAGACTGGAATCATTAATTGTCATAGGTTTCTTTCAAACTTGCTCAAATACCAATCTTTTCCACTATGGACCTTTTGAGATGCCTTTCAGGGTTGAGAATTATACACTATACTGAGAATATATATTTCACTCTACTTTTATGCTAACAGTAATATTGGCAGTGTAGACATTCTGTCTAAAAAGAATAAACAGATTGAAGTTGTTTTCAAGTTGAGTTTAATTCCTGGTGATTTGAATGGATCATCTATGCAATTTTCCCAGCATGATGAATACTTCTGTTACAGCTTTCTGCTATTGTTTTTTCTTCCCAGTATAACTCAAAACCTAGACAAGACTTAAGCAAGGGTACATATTACATATCAGTAATGTCAACTTAAATGTGCCAGATCATTATCGGTTTTGGACAAATAAGATTTCCTGAGAAAATTTATATAATAAAAAGGCTGTTACAAGTAATTACATAACATTTCTCTTATTTGTTATATTATTATTTATTTCACAAACAAAGGGGATGAAAACATTATTCCTAAGATAACCATTTTCGTAATGGAAATTAGTTTGCACTATGCTGCTGCATTTACTTGTGCCAAAGAGTGGCTTTTATTCAGTTCTCAGACTTCTAAAGAAATATATTTTGAACAGACTTCATGAAATATACCAAAGGCAGTTATGCAAATGCAAATCTACACTTTAGATATTTCAGATATATTCATTTGCAGTTTATTCAATATATTTTTTTAATTTCCCATAGGCTAGATGTTTACTCTCTAAGAATAATAATAAGTTTTATTAATTCTACTATGAGTGCCAGTTTTATATAAAGGTTAAAGACACTGGACTAAAAATCAGGAGGTTATGAATTCTAGACTTTCTTTAAGCACAAAACCAGCTAGGTGACTTGGCCCAGTAATTCTTCCTCAGTCCTAGAATGAAGGACAAATCACTTCTGAAAATGTAGGCAAGAAAATAGCAGGGATTTGTCTAGGCAGTAAACTGGAGGAGTCAAAACTGACTCAGACACAACTGCGCACAAAAAAATCCTACAGCAGCAAGATTCTGCTTCGGCTTTAATTCATAGTTAAATAAAATGCTATAAATTTTAAATATTGGTGTTATTTCCCTTTTTAAGCTAATTATAAGTTAAGGTGACCATCTCCTGTTCAGCATGTGTCCCTCTTCTTATTTTTAAAAATCTGCAAAATTATATGTATCCCCAAGTTTTTCTCAGAAGTAACCCTTCTATTTTTTCTTGTTAGGAAACTTTGTTAAGAGAAAAACCTTATTAACATCTCTTTGCTAGTTACATATCTTCTTATTGTTTTTATGTGGAAGATAATGTTCTCTCTCTATGGTTGTGAAGTAGAAACATGATTAAAGAGATTAAAGAGAAAATTATTCTAATATATCTACTGATTCTTACTGCCTATTATACCGTATATGTTCTGTTTAATGCTCTCTTATAGAATTGCTCTAAAAACATACTAAAATTTTATTAGAAATTGTATAACTATTTTTCTCTTGCTTTTTTTTAGCAATTATTCAACTGTCAAGCTCTACGTAAACTGAGTATCCCAGATAATGACCTTTCAAGCTTGCCAACCAGCATTGCCAGTTTAGTTAATCTCAAAGAACTTGACATCAGTAAAAATGGTAAGAAAAATATGTTTTTGTTTTTGTTTACCATAGATTCATAAATGTTTAGCAAGGGAAAGATAATAGCTATTCCAGTCTTTTCAAGAGATTACAACAGAGATGGGTTCATACCAGTTTGGACCGGTCGGCCGAGTAGATAGTAACTCATCCGGACACACACACCCCAAACTGGTTCTATCGTCGTCGGCACCATCTTGATTTTAGGTTCTGCGCATGCGCAGAACAATCTTCATACGCTGAAAAGTAAATTTTTCCATTTTCTAACATTGTGCAATTGCACAGACCTTTTTAAGGTGCAAATGCGCACACACGCACAAATTGTTTTTGCATGCTGAACTGGCAGTAATGCCAGCAGCAACCTACCCCTTGATTAGTATAGCTAACTTTATTTCCAGAATGTTGTATATTGCTAATTTAAAAGTAAACACCTTTGAATAAAAAGCTTTCTTGATTTGAGAACACCAACTATACTGAAATATCAGTTGCCATCAC